GGCAGATATGAGCCTCAGTGAAGAGTTTTGAGAAAATGTTCTGGAAGTCTCTGCACCTTCATATCTAGGGTGGGGCTAGAGATAAACAATGTCAGAGCTGTCCAGAGCTTTGCTCTCCAACCTCCCAGGGACTGATCCAGTTTTGTGCTACGCCCTTGGTGCTTCACCTGATTCAAGACTTAGGCACTCTTTTCCTCACCTTGCTTCACTGGACAGCCGGCTCTGTGTAACCCCCACATTGGCAGCAATAGCCAAACACACTTCAGCACAGTGACAACAAATAACTTTAGAATTACAGGTTGTTAGAGCCCGAGGTAATTTAAAGAGAATCTAGACCAAATTCCTGAAGCAGATTTCAAGACAGTAAAATTCTAAATTTGGTCCATTTTTAAAAATCATATACTAAATAGTTACCACCTTCCACCGATCACTTAATGATAATTCTGATTACTACTGATCAAGTGCTCACATTGTTCCAGACACTCTGCTAAGTACCCTACATGGATGATCTCATTTAACCCTCAAACAATGCTGAGGGAGGGAGACTCTAATTGTTTCCATTTTATAACAAGGGTTCAATGGAGAGGTTCAATGATTCAACCAGCATCGCATGGTTGGTGGTGTGAAGGCCTGGGGTCTTCTAACTTCTAGTTCAATGTTCAGTCCCTTACTCTACACTGACTCTCAAGTACAAGTCTTCTAAGTTATATTTGAATTACTTATCTGAAGATATCCAGCACATCTCTTACTTATCAAATGAGTTTCTAATGGTTTCATAAAATGAAATTCACAGCCTCACTAATACTCACATATAACTCTTTATGAGACTATTTCTCCACCCTCCCCCCCAAGATTTTTCACTAAGTGCCTGTTCCTGTCCAGCTCCAGAATCTACTGCCCACTCTGCTGGCAGACCAAGGCAGGACCCCTTCTCCCTCTCCCCTTCCCTCCAACAAACATTTCTGTGGGACAATGTGAGCCAAGTAGGATGTTAGTCTTTGAAGGGAACCAAAGATGAATACATCCTCCCTGTTTTCCAGGTATCGGCAGAAGATATGACGAAGATGCACATGCCTATGGAGCAGGGCAACCTATTATCAGTGTACTGTCAAGACAGAAGGCAAAAGTAAATGCTCTAGGAATTCAGAGACTGGACCAGTCAATATGAAAAACCCAGTCAATATGAATAGGAATATGGATGGGAGTGGTTATGTCTTTGCTCATGGTTTTCTGGTTAGAATTACATTACATTAAGTTAATATATGCAAAACTATTTACAAGCCAAAATGAAATACAAATATAAGAGACTCTGTCACTATTCTTATGGTGTTATAAAAACTAAAAAGAACCAACATCTATGTACTTCTCATTTATCTAACAACCTTTTTAGACTAACTACACTGGGTCAGGCACTGGGAATACAAAGATGAATAATGTCCATCTTCCATCCTTAGAATATAAAAGGTCCAGGAAAGGAGACAGTAGGTACAGTACAATTGATGGCATGAATTTAATGTGCTAGAACAAAGGCTGATCTGGAGTTTGGCATGAGCTCTGCTCTTTCTTGATGATAGTGCAGGTAGATGGCAATGCTAACGATAAAAACTTCAAAATCAGGAATTCCATTGGCATGCTCCAGCATGTAATAGGCTTAGAGGCGAGGGAAACATATATATATATATATATCTTAATTCAAGCTTAAACTTTGTTCCATGCACTTACATATTCATCATCTTCATAAAAAGCTAGGTGGTATTATGCCCATTTTATAGATGAAGAAGCTGAGACTCAGGGAGGTGAGGTCACTTTCTAAGGTTTATAAAACTATACAGAGTAAATGTAAACCCAGGTTATTTGACTGCTTGATGTGTTTCCCAGTTTCCCTTATTGCTTTCTAATCAGCCAATTTTTTATATAATTCATTCCATTCTAATCTTGAATGACCTTCTTTCTTGGATTGCTTTTCCAAGGAGAAAGATTTATGATAAGAAATATTTGACACTAATCCCTTCTATTGTCATTTCCTCTTACACTTTCTATGATAAATTCCTTTCCTCCTAGTACTCTCTCCTGACTCCTCCCTCATCTCCAATCCCAGTGAAATTACTAAGGAGTAAAGAATTCCCCAAAATGAACAACTTGCAGAGAGAGATCCTTGCCTTCTCAGCTGCTGGCCTATAAACTGTAGGACAAAACACACTGAAAGAAGGAAGAGACTGGCCATACAATTCTGTTCAAGGAGTCCACCTAGACCAAACCTGTCCATGTCTTAATTTTATGGAGCCATAAAGAACATATAATCTATAGAAACTTATATGATTGTCAGCCTCACCTACTTTACAGATAATGAAAATTGAAATCCAAGAATGTGAAAGGACTTGCCCAACGTCACACACTAATGAGAAGCAATCCGAACTGGAACCCTGGTCTCTTGACTACTGGGCCAATGTTTTTCCACTAAATAGGTTGTCTCTTTAGCTTTTCTCCATTAACATCTCAACTTACATGAGATCATGACCTTTTCGAAAAGAAAGCTCAATGTTAGTGTCTTTGCAAAGCCCAGAAGCCAGGGCCCCTTCTCAGCCTCTACTCTGATTAGCTCATGACCTCCTCCAAAGAACAGGAAGTAGCTTCATTTTTAGCTCTGAAAGCACATTCTGGGAAAGGGGGATTTGGGGAAGACAGTTCCTGTACATGATGGTCAAGAGAGATCAGCAGACACATTACTCTTGCTTGAAGGGGAAGATACATGGTCAGATATGTAAGGTCAGATATGTAAGGGGGAGATGTTCCTTGAGTCTTAACCTAAACATATGTTCAGCAAGAGCTTGCCAAAGCCCCTGGGTTGGGGAGAGGAGTAGTTTCTTCTGATCCTGTTCTGATGGAGCTGGATGCCTAAGTGGGGGTTGGGGTAGGAGCACCAGGGCAGGAAAGTTTCCAGGAACTTTGTACAATCTCCAGTGCTTCCCCCACCCTCTGCTAGCACCCACAACTTCCCTTGCCAAGGGAGGAAGGAGGAACACATTATTCAGTTTAATAATTTACACAAATTGGAAAGTTTACTGTGTGAAATAAAGGGGACTTAAGAGGGCAACAGATAAAAATTCCTGAGTCCTCTCTTACAGGATGGAGGTGTGGAGATGATCTCGCCTTGGGATATAACAATCTGGTTGTCTAATAGATGGGTTCAAAACAAACAAGTAACCCTTCCCTTCGATGGTTAGCCAAGCTCTGTCTCCTTCTACTGGTGGGATGACATCCAATCTTAGCATTAATAGCTTGGGACAGACCTGGATTATTGACACTTGTCTATGTCAGTGGTTCTCAAACCTGGCAGTTTATCAGAATCATCTGGGGAGCTCATTACCAGGAACCAGAGATTAATTAAGTAAATCTGGGCTATGGCTCAGGAATCTTCATTTATAACAAGCAGGCCTGGTTTAAGAACTAATGATCTGGTTCAACCCCCATCCATTCAGCTATCAAAATTTTACACATGATATAGGTTTTGCAACAAAGAAAACAGAGATGTCAAAAGTGGGTTAGTGGCAGCACTTGGACTCGAACCCAGTCTCCTGCCTCCTTGTGTGATGTCTTTGCCAATGCCTCCCCCAGCTCACCAGTCCATTGAGAACCACTGAGGATCAGTGAGGACCTTTCCTCCAATCCACAGAGGAGTCAGAGCTGCCAGGAGCTCTGTTAATTCTCCAATTGGTTCTTTGGTAGAAATGGCTAGGAATCTGTGTGTTAGGTTCTGGACTCAGGAAGAGGTAGAGGTAAAGGTAGTTTTAAGGGTGCTTTCATGTGTTTGACTGCTTGATGTGTTTCCCAGTTTAAAAGGGGAAGGCACAACTGATGGCTTCTAAGGCACACTAACTGGTTGTTCCAGTCAGAAAGAATAGTCCGTTCATGGAAGCAGCCTGCAGTGCGTGAGAAGCCAGAGGGAGAGGGGGGGAGAGTAGCAGAAGATAAAGTCTCAGAGGTAACGGGAGGCCAGGCCATCTGGGGCCCTCCAGGCCATATGAAGGAAGATATTTGGCTTTTATTCTGAGTCACTGCAGGATTTGGAGAAGGAGGGTGGCATAATCTGACATATTTTTGCAGGGATACTCTAATGCAGTGGTGGGACATACTCTACAGGGCAGGGGCCCATGCAGGAAATTCAGTTAGGAGAATTTTCAGTAATCTCAGGGGCAAAGGATGGTGGCTCACACCAAGGTGGTAGGAATGCAGTGTTGAGAAGTAGGTGTATTCTTTACTTTTAAAAGTAAAGCTAAAAGCTAACAGATTTTTCTGATAAATTGGATGTGAGATGTGCAATAAAAAGGGAGTCAAGGATGATGCCAAGTATTTTAGCTCCAGCAACAGGCAGGTTGCAGTTATCATCAACTGAGATGGAGAAGGCTGTGGGTGGAGAAGGTTTGGGGGAGGGACATCAGGAGTTCCGTTTTGGACGTGCTGAGTCATTGGCATTCATGTGGTATTTAAATAAAATCTCACCACTGGATGAGGTCATCAAGGGAGTGAGTATAGACAGAAAAGAAAAGAGGGCTGGTGACCCTTCAGCCTCAAGAGGTTAGAGAAAATATGAGGAATTAACAAAAGAATGAGAAAGAGTAACCAGTGAGTTAGGAGGAAAACCATATGTGGAGTCATATAAGCCACATATTTTCAGGAAGAGGGAGTCATCAGTTGGGTCAAATGCCACTGGCAGGTGAAGTGAGATCAAGGTTGAGAATGACTATTGGATATAAATATGGGAGGACACTTGTAATCTTGATAGGAGCAGCATTTGACTCCTGACCTCATGGAGTCCCACAGCTTGACTACTGACTGTCATTAAGGGCTCCTTATTGTTAATTTTCTCTTCTCAATTAGGTTATAAATTTGCAACATCAGGGAAGATGAGTCAGCGCATCCCCAGAGCATGAATACCACCCACCGGAATACTCTCTTATCGGGGCACTGACCTACAAAAGATTTCCACATGCCTGACTTACCTTGGATGCAGAATTTCAGTTCCTTGGGGTCAGTGACAACCTTTCTGCTTTCCTGGATCACTGCCCGATTCTTCTTGGTTTCTCCCCAGAGATTGGTGCCACCATACATGCTTGGAATGTTGAGAATGGCAATGCCTTCAAGGAAGATGTTGCTCAGGTCCACCCCAACCCCGTCACACTGAGGGGAGGGGCAGAGAGAAAAGGTCATCTGTTAGTATACTCAGTGCACTCCAATATAAGGGTGTGTGTGTGTGTGTGTGTGTGTGTGTGTGTGTGTGTGTATGGTGGGGTCTCTTATGAAGGATGTGACTGGCCCACAGCCACCAGCCTGCTTCTGTAAGAAGCTGAATCTTGGGCAAAGTTGTTCAGGCCCTAATGCTTTTGGCCACTGTAGTGAGATGGGGGAGATCTAGCCTTGGTCAGCTTTGGGGAAGACAGCACACAGCTCCAGTGATGTTCTATAGGCTTTAGGGATGGTTTATTAGACAATTAATTGCAAATCTGTTCTCCAGCCCAGCCTAATTATCACCAATTCTGACCTTCCCTAACCATTGAGAAGATATGATAGTACGCTGAGTCCAGAACCTAACACACAGATTCTCAACAATGACAGAAAAGTTTCATTTACCACCTCTTATTTTATCCCTCCTGTGAAAGTAGACTTTAAGACTTGGGAGGCTTTCAGAATTTGCCTGTCTCTGCATCTGTATCCTAAGTGCAATTTTGGCATATGTGCTTGCTGATGTAGCACAGTTTTTGTTTTTTTTATCCAATCTCCACCACCTGCATTACCCTCCAGGTACAAAAGGCCAGAAGGCTTGAATTTGCCTGTCTCATATACAGATAAAGTCAGACCACTTTGCCATAATGTTTACCAGTGCAGCAAGAAATATATTAGCTCTGATTTTTTTTCATCAGGATTGTGGGTAGTTTACTTCATTTACAGAAGAAAAAACTCGACCCAGAGAAGTGAGCTAAGGTTGCACAGCCGATAAATAACAGAGCAGGGGTTCTAAGTTTGGGAATTTCACTACAAAGCCCAAACTTTTCATCTTGCCTATTGTGAGTCAGGGAAAATCAAAAGCATGCAACTAAAATCCATGGTCTTCAAGGTTATCTACAAATCCAAACTTCTAGAGATTTCTCAACAGAGGAGGAATAGAAAGGTCTGGCTTGTTGCCATTCACATTGGTTTACCTTCTGATTTCTTTGATGCTCTTAATTTATGGTTCCTTATCCCCATGAATTGTTTTACCAATTATAAAATGGAATAGAGTGAGCTCCTCTGGTAAGTATGAGCTCTTGCTTCATTGTGAAATTCTGATTATTTGAAAGGTCTCTTTATGTTGAACCAGATGCTCTTTCTTCTTGGCTTTTGCCCATTAGTCCTATTCCCCCTCTGAAGCTAGATAAAATGGCCCTTGTTGCTCCTCCATGGGGACAGCTCACCAGATGCATGATGAAATCATCATCATCATTGTGCATATGTATTAAGCATTGCCACCTGCCAGGTGAGCTTTTATATACATCTCATTTATTACCTTTATAATAATCTTATATGTTAGTTACTATGACTACTCCCTTTTTACATTTGGGGAAACTGAGGCAGCAGTTAAGTAAGTTGCTTAAAGTAATAGAACTTACAAATGAAAGTACACAAATTTGATGGCAGATAGTAGGGGCCCACGTCTTAATCACTCCTGTACTTCTCCTCCCCCTTGCATCACCATTTGGTTGTGCCTCTTCTGGGGTGAGCACTATCAACTCTCTCAGTCCCCTCCTGTAGGACTTGGTTTTCAGACATCCCCCCTCCTTATTGCCCTGATCTGCACACACTACAGTTTGTTACTCTCCTACTCTGTAAGGCCCCCAGCATTAAAAGCAACACCAATGACAGGATCTAATGGCACAAGTGGCAATGGCACTATTTGGGCTGGGATCCTATGACACTATGATACCCCAGAAATGAGATAATGTGGGAAGCCTATGTAAGGGCTCAACACATGTCTCCCATTATCATTATCCCTATTTGTACATATGGTCAAATTTGCACTAGCTCTTTTGTTAGCAGCTAGATGAAGGCTGTATCAGTTTAGCTTGAATGGGTAGTCATCTACGTCACCCAAACCCTGATCCAATCACCTACTTCTCAGCCAGCTCTTCCTTATCCTGAACTTATAAAGATATTGAAAAAACCCCCACAAACTTAGACATAGGGCTTTACATTTATGTCTATTAATTTCATCTGGCTTTCAGCCCAGGCCTAGTCTAGTCCATCTAATTTATTTTAAATCTTCATTCTATGACCTTTTGCAAAAGCTTTCCTATCATTTGGGGATTAAGTCATTAATACATGTATATAAGGGGCAAAAAACAAACAGGGACTACATTCTCTCTTTGGTCAGTTTAACACACCATACATTGTGCACTAAGCAGCCCTAGGGTTGTGGCTGTCCTATTGGAGCTGCATCCTCTGGATTGAACTGTCAACAGTCCACTTTTAATTTCAATGTGGAATCATGGAACTTTGTGAGAGGGACGACCCAAGAGAACATATTCCTTTCATAAATAAGGCCCAACACGGTTAAGGGACTTGGCCTGTGGTGACCCAAGTTACTATTGGTGGAGCTAGACTAGTATCCTGGTCTCCAGACCTCAATTCTGTGTTCTTTCCACTAAAACATAAGACATTGTGCTAAGATCAAGTAGTATTTCCTAACTGACCACTCTACAACCCCTATCAGAAAAGGAATAAGAGAACTCATATACTTTCCATGTCCTTTTTTGCTTCAAACATTGTCTAACACTGTGCTTGACCTTCAGCTGGCTTTTGTGCATTCAGACCTGGGTACATGTCCATCCATGCCTTTGTGTGTATGTGTACTGTCCCCTGAAAGCACAGGCTCAATCCAGACCTCCATGTTTCTGTCGGGTAATTACTTCAGCTGGCTTTTGTGCATTCAGACCTGGGTACATGCCCATCCCTTGCCTTTGCTCAATCCAGACCTCCATGTTTCTGTCGGGTAATTCCTCTTAATTTATGGTTCCTTATCCCCATGAATTGTTTTACCAATTATAAAATGGAATAGAGTGAGCTCCTCTGGTAAGTATGAGCTCTTGCTTCATTGTGAAATTCTGATTATTTGAAAGGTCTCTTTATGTTGAACCAGATGCTCTTTCTTCTTGGCTTCTGCCCATTAGTCCTATTCCCTCGCTGAAGCTAGATAAAATGACCCTTGTTGCTCCTCCATGGGGAAAGTTCACCAGATGCATGATGAAATTATCATCATCATTGTGCATATGTATTAAGCATTGCCACCTGCCAGGTGAGCTTTTATATACATCTCATTTATTACCTTTATAATAATCTTATATGTTAGTTACTATGACTACTCCCTTTTTACATTTGGGGAAACTGAGGCAGCAGTTAAGTAAGTTGCTTAAAGTAATAGAACTTACAAATGAAAGTACACAAATTTGATGGCAGATAGTAGGGGCCCACGTCTTAATCACTCCTGTACTTCTCCTCCCCCTTGCATCACCATTTGGTTGTGCCTCTTCTGGGGTGAGCACTATCAACTCTCTCAGTCCCCTCCTGTAGGACTTGGTTTTCAGACATCCCCCCTCCTTATTGCCCTGATCTGCACACACTACAGTTTGTTACTCTCCTACTCTGTAAGGCCCCCAGCATTAAAAGCAACACCAATGACAGGATCTAATGGCACAAGTGGCAATGGCACTATTTGGGCTGGGATCCTATGACACTATGATACCCCAGAAATGAGATAATGTGGGAAGCCTATGTAAGGGCTCAACACATGTCTCCCATTATCATTATCCCTATTTGTACATATGGTCAAATTTGCACTAGCTCTTTTGTTAGCAGCTAGATGAAGGCTGCATCAGTTTAGCTTGAATGGGTAGTCATCTACGTCACCCAAACCCTGATCCCATCACCTACTTCTCAGCCAGCTCTTCCCTATCCTGAACTTATAAAGATATTAGAAAAAAAAAAACCCACAAACTTAGACATAGGGCTTTACATTTATGTCAATTAATTTCATCTGGCTTTCAGCCCAGGCCTAGTCTAGTCCATCTAATTTATTTTAAATCTTCATTCTATGACCTTTTGCAAAAGCTTTCCTATCATTTGGGGATTAAGTCATTAATACATGTATATAAGGGGCAAAAAACAAACAGGGACTACATTCTCTCTTTGGTCAGTTTAACACACCATACATTGTGCACTAAGCAGCCCTAGGGTTGTGGCTGTCCTATTGGAGCTGCATCCTCTGGATTGAACTGTCAACAGTCCACTTTTAATTTCAATGTGGAATCATGGAACTTTGAGATGAGAGGGACCCAAGAGAACATATTCCTTTCATAAATAAGGCCCAACACGGTTAAGGGACTTGGCCTGTGGTGACCCAAGTTACTATTGGTGGAGCTAGACTAGTATCCTGGTCTCCAGACCTCAATTCTGTGTTCTTTCCACTAAAACATAAGACATTGTGCTAAGATCAAGTAGTATTTCCTAACTGACCACTCTACAACCCCTATCAGAAAAGGAATAAGAGAACTCATATACTTTCCATGTCCTTTTTTGCTTCAAACATTGTCTAACACTGTGCTTGACCTTCAGCTGGCTTTTGTGCATTCAGACCTGGGTACATGCCCATCCCTTGCCTTTGCTCAATCCAGACCTCCATGTTTCTGTCGGGTAATTATTTTTTACACTCTTTTCCTTTTTCCTCTCAATATAATTAATGAATTGTTAGTAGCTTATTTTGAAATGTCTTCCATCATTTCATCCTTTATGCCCATATTCTTATTTAGGGATTTAGGCTAGAATCTCACTGAGCCAGACTTTACTTTTCTCCAAACTCTCTGAAGTGAGCTTTGCTCAGGTCTTTGCCCAGCATTGTCTTCTTGTATTCTACCCAACACCATCACTTTCCCTGTTGGTTGTTGTTACTTCCACTTCACCTCAATTTATTCATTATTGGCCAAAATGCCCCCTCCCTTCTGAGAGAAAATAGTAATAATATTTGCAGCTCAAGCTTGTGCACTGTGTTGGTCCTTCACCTACATTCTCTCCTGGGATTCTCACATGAGTGCAACGAAGGAGGCATATTTACTACCCACAACTGACAAGGTCTCACAGGGGTAAAGGGCTTA